ATTCCACACTGGGTTTGCCCCCAGGTCCTCCCGAATACCTCTTCTTCTCGACTCCCCATTTCGTCTCTCCTCTTCGGAGCCTCCCATTGCCTCTCCTGGACTATTACAATAGCTTATTTTTAAAATCTTAATCTTTAAGATATAAAGGGATCGGAGATAAATAAAGCATAACCTCTGCCTTTCGGAAACTCATGGGAGGTGATGGGCTTGTGGGCAGACATGGCCCAGGGCAGTGGGCGGCCGCACCAGGGAAGCAGGTGCCGCCTGTCAGACGTGCAGGAGAGAGAGGAGGCCCCGGCTGGCAGATTGCCCTCCTGCCGACTCCCTCAGATGCACTTCCGCCTCGTGTTTCTGTTCTCATTCTCCCCGCAGCACGGGAGGTCCCAGGTCTGACGTGTGCAGGCGTGAGACCCCTCGCACACCCGGTGGGCATCTTGGCGGGAATCAGACCGCCATGCAGTTAAACTGTAGCACAGGGAGACCCTCCGCCATATGTACTGGGACGAAGGCTCTGAGGCTCCCAGTGTCTCCGGGGCTAAAGGAGGCCTCGCTCAAACAGACCTGCGTCCACTCAGTCAGCTTAGCCCAGCGCGCCCCAAGCTCCCGCTCCGTGTCCCGGTTCTTTGTGTGTGTTCAGTGCTCTGTCCACGGTATCAGCATGACCAGAGGAAGCAGGTCTGAGACACATGCTCCAGAGCAGCTGGAGGGGGTCACCTTGGAGCTGAGGGGGTCACCTTGGAGCAGAGCCGCTCCCACCAGCATCGGTGCACAGGTGCCCAGCCGCCCGTGGCGGCCCCCGTGGCGGCCTCCCTGTCTGAGCCGGGCTCACCTATGCCAGGTGGTCCCCTCCCTGATCAAATGTTCCCCGGCCGGTGGGAATGGCGGCCGTACTTCTGACTTGAGTCTTAGCAGATGGTTCTTGAAGGGCCGTGGAGCTGCGGAGTGGGGGGATAGTGGGGGTGAGGGGGTGGGGGTGGGGGGGATTCTGGCCGAGACTCAGGAAACCGGCTCTTGCCGAGTTCATTAGCTGGGAAGTGACTTCCCTTGCCGCCGGTTTTGTTGACTCGGCAGTGCGGGCGCCCTCTCTGTGGGTCGTGTTTCCGGCGCGTGCTCCCCAGGCCTCCGCAGAGTGGCCTTGGCTCTCCGTCCAGGTTCCGGTTGGCGAGGTCCGAGCCCTCAGCCCACCTGTGCCCTGTCCCTTAGCCACCCGGGGTGTGTGTCACTGGACACCCGCACCCGGAGGTTAGAAGCTCCAGGAGGCCAGGGAGTGCTGGTACCCGGCACCTTGTCGGCCGCTGAGTCGGGCGTGCTGGCCCCGGAGGCCTGGCCGCTGGTGGAGCTGGGGGCAATGGGCAGCGGGGTGTCTGCTGGGCTCACACTGCTCTCTCTCTTTCAGGAGCCCAGCCACCGGGGCTGCCGTATTATACTGACCCCGGAGGACCCGGCATGAATCCTGCCGTGAATCCCATGGCGATGGCTTTCCAGGTTCAACCCAACTCACCCCAGGGGAGCGTGCCCTACCCCCCGCCCCCTTCCTACTGCAACACGCCCCCACCCCCCTACGAACAGGTGGTGAAGGCCAAGTAGCGGGGTGCTGCCCGGAGCCGGCCTGGGCGGCGCTGCGGACATGGAGGAGCCGTCGCCGGCCGCCCGCGTCCCATCAGCGCTGGCTTCCTGAACGGTCTTAGGAGCCACAAGGGCACGTCCCTCTTTGACACCCTCAGAGCAAGCACAGCCCCTCCCGTTTTCTATAGATGACCAATCTCTGCCCTCGCCGCGTCCTGTTTCTGATGTCGCCTGTGCTTCGGCAGAGTGTGGACAGTCCCCGAGGGCCGGCCCCCGAAGGTGGCGCGCCCTCAGCCTCAGGCAGGACTAGAGGAGGGAGCCAGTGAGGGCCGGGCGTGGGGAGAGCATGGGAGACGCCTCCCCCGCTGGAGCCCTGAGCCAGGCGGCCGCTGGACTGAGGCCCCACAGGGTCAGCTTTGGGGGTCTCTCGTCCCGTCTGTTTTCCTCTTGAAGAAGCTGCTAGAGAGACGTTTGGTGAACAAGGACCTCCCGCACTTTCTGTCTCCATCGCTCCCCAGAGAGGAGGGACACCCCTCTGCCCAGCCAGGGCTGGGAGTGAGGGCCCGGATGGGTGTCTGCAGTTGCCTGCAGGTCACTGAGGAACGCTCTGTGTTCGTGGGACATCGCTCCGCGCCTCGAGCCGGGACGTGGCATTTAGGAGCTTGTCTGACTTGGGGAGAAATCGCGTTCCCTCTTTTTAGTGTATTTATGGAAGTGCGTGTAGAGCGCTGTCCTTTGAGGTCGGACTCTCATCAGTGTCTCCCCAGAGTGTCAGCAGCTCCCCGGTCTTTGATCGCAACCAGCAGTCTCCACAGCCTCCCCAGCAGCTCTGGCCCTGGGTTTTGATGAAGGACACTTTCAAAGCAAAGGCACCTCGGCGGGCGGGCGGGGCTGTGTGTGGCCTGTGTGGGTCAGCAGCTGTGTGGGCTCGAAGAGGAGCTTGCTGAGAAAGACGGGACTGCAGGGAGATCGTCACAAGTCCCCGTAGATTCACTGACAACTTAACCAATGTGCGAATCAAGAAGATGCGGTCAGGATGCAGACCTGGCTCAGAACCCCTCCCCAGGGCTGTGGGCAGCCCCCAGGATTGCTGATGGCCGTCCTGGGGTTGCGGACAGTGAGCGGGAGCCCCGTTCCTCTGTGCAGTTAGTGATGCCGCTGGTGTGTGTGCGCCCAGACTGAGCCCTGCTGGCTAGTGCGTAGGAAGGGCAAGGCAGTGTAGCCAGACCGTAGGTAGATCCCTGTATGTGTGGCGGTTCCACGGTGGGGGTGGGGGGTGGAGGGAGCCTACTTTTGAAATGAACTAATCGGAGCCTCTTGAGAAATAGTTACTCATTGGACTGGAGCATCGGGACATGTCACTGCAGGGGCTGCCGGTGGTTTCTGTTCCCCAGGCCAGGAGTCTTGCTGTCCCTGGGCTCCGGCCTGTCTCCAGGGCAGTGGCGAGGAGTCAGGGTGGGGCCATTGTCACTGCTCAGAGGGACCTTCCTGGGAGGATGGAGACCCTGGGAGCCTCCCGGGGAATTCCAGGGGAGACGCCTGGGACCAAGCCAGCGCCCTGGGGAGCAGTTAGTGAGCGCAGACTCGTGCCCGTGTCTTTGGTCACCCTCGTGCGACCTGTGAACCCCTGTCCCCGACTGCAGGCCCTCCGCACACCCGGGTCCTCGAGTGAAATGAGTTGACAAAGCACAACATTTGCTGTTTACAACCAACGACAACAAGGGTCTAAAAGTTCCTCTTCCTCCAGGTCACTGGTTTTGCATTTTTAACTTCAATTGGCCCCTTGGCTTTTTTCTTAAATAACGAACCACCCTCGAGCTGCCCGGCCCTGGACCAGGTGCGGGTGAAGAGGCCCCACCTGTCCATGCAAAATCTTACGTACCTTTTGGATAGCAAGAGCCTGGGCGGTCTCAGCAGCGCCGGCAGTTTTATATCCCACGTTTGTGTAAGATACATTTTGTTGCCCCTAGAACTTGGGTGAGAACCTGCTCCACGGGTGGGAGTCCCTCTTGCCGAGGTTCAAGCGTGGGTGCTCCTGGGGGGAGGCCCCGGAGAGCCCGCGGTGAGGAGGGAACTGGGGGCAGACCGCGCACGTGTCTGCAGCACGTGGCTCCGTGCTCTTCTGTTCTCTTCCACAGCGTCCTGTTTCCTATGTTCGCAGAATAAAAACGCCTTTGGACATGTGCTCTGACTGTTTGTGCTGGGAGCGGAAGGAGGGCAGAGTGAGGCACCTGCAGTGGGTTCCCTCGGCAGGTGGGGGTGGGAGGTGGGGGTGGGGGGTGTGACGCAGCCAATCTCTGGAAAACTGGACTAGAAGCCATCAGAGAATATAAGGAAGTTTTGATTCATCAACACATTTTATTTTGTTTTTATTTAAAAATATTTTTTTTAATGATTCCAGAGAGAGAGAGAGAGGGAGATAGAAATGAGAGAATCATGGATCAGCTGCCTCCTGCACGCCCCACACTGCAGATTGAGCCCATAACCCGGGCCTGTGCCCTGACCTGGAATCAAACTGTAACCTCCTGGTTCCTAGGTTGACGCTCAACCACTGAGCCACACCGGCCGGGCTCATTTTAAAAATCTAACGAAGGAAAAGTGATCTGAGCAGGTGGGAAGGGAGGGGCAGCAATCAGGTAAACTCAGCCCAGACCGGCTTCCCACAGCAGGCGAGCCTGGATTTTACCTGTGGCTCTGCTTGTGCGTCTCACAGACCTATTGGCGGGTGTATTGGCTGCACTTAGATGAGTCAGCGTGGAGATCACGTCGAAAAAGCAGCATCTTCTCTCGCTCTGAAGACAGCACAGGAAACAGGCCGGACGAGGCAGCAGCTCCCGGTGGCTGGGTCCCAGCTGGCTCACACGCCTCTCGCCTCTCGCCTCTCGGGGCAGCGGCCTGCCACCAGCTACCCCTGCAGAGGGACGCAGGGTCCCTTACAGGCCCAGGTCAGGACTGGGGATGGAAGCCAGGCTCGCTTTTATCTGCCTCTCACATTGAACTTCAAAAAATGCAGGTGGCCCTGGCTGGTGTGCTCAGTGGGTAGAGCCTGCACGCTGGAGCGTCTCGGGTTTGATTCCCGGTCAAGGGCATGCGCTGGGTTGCAAGTTCAATCCTTGGCCCCAGCGGAGTTGTGCAGGAGGCAACCAAGCGATGTGTCTCTCACATCCACGTTTCTCCCCACCCCCCTCCACTCTCTAAAAATCAATGGAAAACATACCCTCGGGTGAGGATTTAATAAAAAAAAAAAAAAGAAAGAAAGAAAAGTCCATCGTGGCTCTCAAGGCACACAAGTACGAAAACAAGAATCTGGAGCAGTTTCGGAACTGGAAGAAGACAGATCAGAGCAGATGGAAGCCGGGTCTGCGGAGAAGGCGGCGGGGGAGACGCTGTCAGTTTCCAGGCTGGGGCCCAGCAGGCGCCGGGGCGGGGGTGGGCGGGCAGGGGCCATGGGCCGGCGGGGCGGAGGCGCCGGCCGCGCGCGCCTCCCACGGAAGCCGGGCGGCTGGGACAGGGCACTGTGTGGGGAGGTGCCGCGACCTGAGCCGCTGGCGGCATTATTTAACTTAGAGAAGGGGTGCAGGGGCGTCAGCACCACATCCTCCTGGACAGCGGACCCTCCGCTTCCGGTTCCTGGGTTCAGGTTCCGCTTGTGTCCCCGTCCTGTAGTTCCGTGCATGTAGGGAGGGGAGGGCGAGACTTTGGTTCCGGAAGCAGCTGGGGGGTCAGAGTTCTCCGCACCTGTTTTGGCTGCGTGACATGGGTTTTGGTCTGTTGTCTCTGAAAAGCAACTCAGTGTCTCCATACGCGGGACAGGGCCATTTTGAGGTGGTTCTGAGGTTACACAGCTCTCTCCTTCTTACCCCTTCGCTTTTTTTGGTTTGTTTTTGTTTTTAAACCATGTCTTTTGTCTGTACCCACAGTGTGGAATTTGCAGATGGCATCGCCACGGTGTTTGCATTTCGTGTACATTGGTAGTTCTATAGAGAAGTGTGATTGGACTCAGGTCCTCGTTTTGTTTGGAAGGAATACGTCAGAGATGGTGGGTGTATTTCCAGAGGAGCACAGTGTCTGCTTGTGTCCTGCTAGCCGCAGACAGTCATTGCTGGGGCTCACCGATTGCTTATGTCAGAGCAGTAACATTTACTATAGTGTCCCATGAATACACAGTAGACTGAAGCACTGAGAACCGTAATTGCTTGAACGTGGTATAAAACAGGAATGGAAAGCTTATGTGCGTGATTTAATGCTTAGATGTGGAGCATACCTTTGCTGTCCTTGTCCACTAAGATGTTGTGCAGTTACTTCGCTGCACATTCTAATGGCTTATCTCCCTCACCCTCCAGCGAGAATGGGAGTTAGTTCCATTTTCATCCTTGACCTGGAAATATTTGTTGCTACTCCTGTAAATTTGGGTTTCGTGGAATCTGTGCCCCACAGCTTAGCCGTGGTATGACCTCCCTGCCCCAAGTTGCCTCCCAGGTAGAGAAATGTGGCAGGGAAACCGCCACACAGGCTCCTGTGGGGCCAGATTGGATCACCAAATGCGATAGGCTTATCAAGGACTTCACACGATGCCCAACTCGACAGTCAATATTGTACATTAGAGATGCCATGCTCTCCAGAGCTTAACCCTGCTAAATGGAGGAGAACCTAGAGTAGAGAATGGAGAGTCACTCTGGCTATATCCCTTGAGTAGGCCACTGGGAATAGTACCGATGAATCATATGTGCTGATTGTAAATGACACACCACGTCCCCCTAGCAGAGCTGGCCATCTGTGGGTGTGCGGCGGAAGCTCAGCACCAAAGTGGGAGCGGCCAGCAGCTCCCTGAAGGACTGTCATTCCAGAAAAAAGAACAGGGATGTGGGGCTGAAGCTGCAAAATCTCGTGAAAGCTGCCTTCCTGGGGGTGGGGCCAGCCTGCTGCTCCAGGGGTGAGGGAGGGGGTGCCAGCCAGTAGAGGCAACCAGTCCACCATCACAATCCTTTCCCCGTGAGCGAGCGTCATCTGAGGTCACCCCTTAATCCCCCAGTTCACAGAGAAGGCATGATGTTAGGTTCTTGACTTGGATTATTTGATCTCATCCTCCCAACAACCCTGGAAGGCAGAGCTGAATGTGGCATCATGAGCCTGAGCCCACAGCAAGGACAGCAGGAGCCCCCCAGGCAGTTACCCAGGCCCTGGCCCTGGGCTGTGGGATGGGCAGCACCCAGGGGCTCTGGGTGGCAGGGAGGAGGTTTGACCACTGGCTATTCAGCTGCCAGTCAGCTCTGTGGAGGCCTTTCCTGCCGCCCAGCAGGGTCAGGGCCCTCCCCTACCTAGAGGTTCTCTTCTGGAGAGAACACTGGTCTTTGGCCCAGAGGACACAAGGTCAGGGTGAAGGTCAGAGTGCCCTCTGGTGAAGATGGCCCCCGGCTCGCTTTCCCCTTCCCTCTGTCACCTGCAGCAGGAGACTGGGCATCGGCTGGGCGGGCGCTGGTGGACTCCGGAAACAGGCCCAGTGTTTCCCCGGTGAAAAGATCCAGCCACGTCAACCCTGTGGGCAGGAATTCCCCATGAGCTCCAGTCCCCACCACACAGCTCTGCGAGGCCTTGGGCAGCCCTGAGCTAACTAGCAGACCCTCTGACATGAGAGACTAAAGCCAGCAAACAGGACAAAGCAACTCAGACAAACCCAGCTAACCAGTGAGCTGAGCATGGCTGGAGGAACACCACAGCCCACCCACTGGTCTCCCTATGTCCACAACCACGTGGGCCTGGATGCCATCATGCAGGCACCCCCGTGTCCAGACCAGCCTTCCTGGGGTGACCAGAGGAACCAGGGACCCACGGGCAAGTTCCCCTGATGTGTGGGGTCCCCGGGGCAGCAGCACCAGCATCACCCTGGACTTGGCAGGAGACACCCCCAGGCCCCACCTAGACCTACTGGATCCGGCCGGCCCAGAAACCCGTTTCCACGAGCCTCCCAGTGACTGCTGCGCAGCTGGCATTTGAGAGCCGCTCATCACCCTCCGCCCTTCTCCTGGCGATCTTCACACTCTCTCTTCTCACTTCCAGTCCCCACACCTCCTCCTCCATTTTCACTCAGCAGATGCTGCCCCGCTGAGAACACTGAAGAAATCAGACTTCCACCTCGCCCACCACCCCCTCTGCGCCCACAGCGTCTGCGCCCATCTGTGAGCCAGAGACGTGGAATGCGGGCTCCCAGCTCCGCGCCCCGCTGGTCTGGGCCTGGGCACCAGCTCCCCCTCCTGTTCCCCCTTTCTGTGCCACGTCACGTTTCAAACACTGCCCTTTGGGTCCTGCCCATGGATTCACAAACGCGCTGTTAATTTTTTGAACTTAAAAAAAGTATATTCTTGATCCCCTTTCTCTCGCATGGCCAATTCTTTCCTCTCCGGAAGAGCCGATCACTCTTCTCCCCGCCCCGCCACCCCCCTCCCCTTCCTCCCTCATGGCTTCCAGGAGAGCACAGCCCCCGCCCCAGGGGCTGCGCTTCCTCTCCTCTCAGCCCCCTAATGCTGCTGGGCTGTCTGTGGCCCCTTCCCTGTTGTGCACCCTCACTGCCCAGAGCGCTTCAAAGACATCAATATGCAGTCCACTCCAAAATGACATGTGTCTGGCCCTGACCGTGCCTGATGCTAAGCCTGACGCTCACTGTACCTGACCCTGACTGTGCCTGACCCTGACCGTGCCTGATGCTAAGCCTGACGCTCACTGTACCTGACCCTGACCCTGGCCCACGCCACGTCCCCTCCATGGGGGCCTGAGCTACAATGGCTGGTAAGCGGTCACTGGGCCGCACACTGCGCACTGCTGACACCAGTGGGAAGGAGGGAGGTGTCAGTCCTCCCGGCCAGGAGCAAACCTGTAAGTACAAGCTCCTCGTTTATTCTGCAGGCACTTTACCTGTCCCTCACGTGTTAGCCCGAAAGAAGCCCTTGTCACACATGGAGGATTCGCAGGTGACCAAGCATCACCCTCATTGCTTGGGGACATGTGGCCAGGATGCGCCCCTCTGGCTGGGACACCCTGTCCTGGGGCCTGGGGGTGAGTCTTGTGCAGCCCCTGGGGCCTCCCCGGGCCACGCGACAGCGCGGGCCACGCTCCTGTCATGGCCTCACAGGCTGGGGGGTGAGGGTGCAGGACCCTGGGAGCGGCTGGGCGTGGATGGGGGCGGGGAGCAGGTTGTCCGGTTGGGCTCAGCTTACTCATGACGCATGTCCTCCAGGTGACAGGGTGCTGGCTGCCCAGGAAGCCCCTTAAAAACAACCCTGAGGACTTGTGTCCCGGGAAGTCACCAGCCCCACGTGAGGGAACAGTCGTGACTTGGAAACAGCGTGTGTGGCGAAGGCTCCTGAGCCGTCATTCCCATCAGGCCAGCCCGGCGGCGCTCAGCAGCGCCAGGATTCCCCGCGACCGCCTTCCGCACGGACTCCTTCACGAGGGCGCAGAGGGGGCTGCTGGCGTCCAGACATGGACCAGGCCTCAGAGGCCTCGCGTGTCCCCCTGACCCCGCCTCAGCTCGCAAGGTGAGACGTTCCAGACCAGCCGTCCCAGGAGGGAAAGCCCTTCTACACTGAACCCCGCGGGGCAGGACTGGGGCGCGTACGCTCACCCAGAGCAGCGCCCGTTTTACACGAGCGTGTCCGCCAGGCTCTCGCTGGATCACGTTTCCCGTGTGGATAAGTGAAGACCAGTCCTTTCACGTGTCATCAACGTGACCTTGTCATCACCCAACTGGTCAAAGCACAGGAAGGTACCGATCCCGAGCGGATGCCTTGATCACGGACCAGGTTTGATGTAGTTTAATCGCAGGGACACGGAACAGAGACCTGCCTGGACCTTTATTCACTGAACTTCAAGCCACGCACTTAACGCGATGGACAGGGGAGCCGTCTGCTTTAGTAACGCACCAGGCCCAGGACTGCGGACGCTTGGGGCCCTGACGCACAGCGGTCACAGGAAGGTTCACCTGGCCGGCCGCCCGTCCCGAGGCCACTCCGCTGAGGACCGGCCCGGAGAGCGAGGCGCCCGGCTTCGCAAACCACCAGGGCGAGCCCGGGCCGGTGGCTCAGTGGTTGGAGCGTCAGCCCTGTACACCCAAAGGCTGCGAGTTCGAGTCCTCGTCAGGGCACATATGGGAGGCAATCTCTCTCCTCTACTCTCTCTCTAAAACCAGAAAAACATATCCCAGGTAAGGATTTAAAGAAAATTAAAAAACGACGACAACAAAAAACACCGAGGGGAGCACAAAACCCTCGTGGGAAGGCCGAGCCCGTATCTGCTCAGCCTCTCGGTCCTGGAGCAGCGAGGCGGCGAGGGTGTGAGCACTGGGGGTCACCGGCCTCTGCCCGAGGCTCCCGCTGGGAGGTGATTTGCAGGGAAGGGGCTGCCGCGTGTCCCGGGCCAGCGCCGCTCAAGGGCACGGGGGGCTTTCTGCTGAGCACAGCCGGTACCTACACAACAAACACCAAGAGACATGCAGACGCTGCGAGAACGGGGTGAGAGCGGGCGTGGCCGCGGGAGGGCCGTGACAGGCGGGAAGGGAGCTGCCACTGGGCTCCAGGTCCAGGGTCACCGCACACAGGGCCCCGCCTGTCTGCTCTCCGCCTCCCCCGCGGGATTCACAGCTGGTTTCCCGCCAGGCACGGAGCAGTCTCATGGCTTTTGGTCCAAACGGGGCGCTTAGGAGTCTTTTTACATCTTTTTATCCATCTGCGAAGAGCTAAGTTCAAATGCCGGGAACCGGGATGTCTCAGGAGCCAGGACGTCGGAGAGAAAGTGGATCGCGCCGGCCATGCCTGCAAATCAAGGGGGTCCTTTAGGAAGGGCCCTGGGAGGGAACAGCCCCTTGACCCCTCCTTGTCAGGAGCCACCGAGGCAACAGTCACAAAACAGCACACACGCTCACACATGTGCACACGCACACTCTCACACACATGTGCACGCATACACTCATACACACACATGCACACGCACACCCCAGGGCTCTCTGTAGAACTAATTTGCTTTCCCGGATTATGTTCTACATACTGTGCCTGCAGCAGACTGTTAATGTCGCTTTCTCACTTCCTGTCACTGCTCTTGATTTTCAGAGCTTTCTTCGATATTCTCATAACTTTTTCCAACTATTAATATTTCTAGGTATTAATGTTCTTTAAATGCTAATATTGATTAGTCACATTTGTTTATGTAACTGAAGTAATTAGATACATGTAAGTAGCTAACAGGCCCTGTGACAGAGCAGCACGCACGCAGCACCGCACAGGGTGCAGAGCAGCACGCACGCAGCACCGCACAGGGTGCAGAGCAGCACGCACGCGGCACCGCACAGGGTGCAGAGCAGCACGCACGCGGCACCGCACAGGGTGCAGAGGAGGAACTTAGCCTGTCCTCATTACCAAGCAGCAAGCGCCCTATGTTCTGTCTGCATTTACTGCACAAGAGACCAAAACACCGGGAAGAGATTCACAGGAGCACACAGCAGGCGGCAGGGAGACTAATGTAAACTTCAGCCGTGAGCTCCTGTGAGTATGTGTGGCTGTGGGGTCATCGCTCGAGCAAGACCGGAGGCGTTGGTGCCAATCCCACAGAGATGGGGGCCCGATCACCCACACCTGGGGCCCCCTCACCTTCGAAGAGTGAATAGGGCCTGTCGGGGATGCGGCACCCGTGGGCGCCATAGTCCAGACACCACTCTGCAAACTAAGAAGACGACACTGCTTGTCAAGACTGAGAGTTCACTCGAGGAGGCAGCAAAGCAGACCCTCGATGACCTCCCCGAGCCACGGCCGGGAGGCTGCGCCCAGTGCAGAGGGCGGGGCGGGCTGTGCAGAGGGTGGGCATGGCCTCTGCGTGGGGCCCAGGCCACCTCTCTCAGCGGGACGTCTGCCATAGGGACACCACCCAGCTGAGACTGGATGGAAAGGAATCAGGAGGGGTTGCAGGGGGAGGGCACCCCTGATGGGAACCAGCTGAGCAGCTCAAAGGGAACACAGACACGCTCCTGCGTGGAGAGGGGCAGAGGCTGGAGGTGCAGCGTGGTGCCAGCTGGGGAGAGGAGAGGGGGGACCGGGCGAGGCGGGGCTCTGGGAACGGGGGTGTGGTCTGACTCCCGGGTGGCGCGGTGCCTGGGAAACAAGCCTGGGGAAAGGAGGGGGAGCTGCGTGTGGGCTCCGCCTGGAGTGTCCAGGCTGCTGGGACAGAGAGGCCTCACCTTGCAAGCGCGGTAGAGGTACTTCCTGTCCTGGGTGAGGTGGTACAGGGACAGGAAGGCGTAGCCATTGCCGGCCGTCCCGTGGCAGAGCCCGTAGCCCTTGCGCAGCAGGCCGCGCTGCCAGATCACGTCGCTGCACTCCATGGCGTCCTTCAGGTACTTCTCCTCCCTGAACACCTGGTAGGAGACACAGGGCAGTGGGAGGAGGGTTCTCAGTGGGAGTCAGCGAGACACTGCCCTTCCCGGTTAGGGAACCATTGGATGCTCGGCTGCCTGACGGCCCTGGGGCAGACAGTACCCCCTCCTCCTGACGGCCCTGGGGCAGACAGCACCCCCTCTTTCTGACGGCCCTGGGCAGACAGCACCCCCTCCTCCTGACGGCCCTGAGCAGACAGCACCCCCTCCTCCTTCAGCAGCTCGGGCGGCCCGAGGCCCACTAAGGAGCAGGGGGTGCGGACGGCACTGACCTTGTACGCTTGCATCAGCATGTGGATGACCCCCGAGGCCCCGTGGCACCAGTGGACCAGCCGGTCCGTTTCGTTGCTTAGAGACGACGGGTAGTTCCCGGAGCGGAAGCGCTTGTGGCGGACGTAATCGATGCTGGGCTTCACCATCTCGGCCAGGGTTTCCTGGTCCACTTTTGCTGCTGGCTTTAAACAAACAAAACAAAACATTTAATCTATTTTTCTAAAGTTCCTTCTTTTCTTTTAAAAAACCTCTATCTTATGGCAACAAAGTACCAATTACCTAGAATACTGAGAAGCATATAAAATTAGAATCAATTCAATTATTGGGTTAATTAACTCTAGGGCAGATCTTCCACCCATTTAAATACAAACCTCACCCAAAATACCTCACAGGAACATTCAGGATAACTTTAACCACATCTCTTGGCACCGTGAGTAAATATCAAGTTAACACATAAAGTTAGCACGGATAGCAGGCCTGCTTGTTTGTGTGTTTTTTTTTTTTTTTTTTAACATATTTTATTGATTTTTTACAGAGAGGAAGGGAGAAGGATAGAGAGTTAGAAACATTGATGAGAGAGAAGCATCGATCAGCTGCCTCCTGCACATCTCCTACTGGGGATGTGCCTGCAACCAAGGTACATGCCCTTGACCGGAATCGAACCTGGGGCCCTTGAGTCCGCAGGCTAAGGCTCTATCCAGTGAGTCAAACCGGCCAGGGCTGTTTGTGTTTTTAATATATATATTTTTTATTGATTTCAGAGAGGAAGGGAGAGAGAAGTCTGTCCCAGTCTGGTGTGTTGTTGCTTTTTTTATTCACACACTTACATATTTTTTCTTTCTATATATTGGTAATGATAAAGCTTAAAATGCTTACTCTGAAATAAGCACATGTGAGGAATATACGTAAATGATTTATGTTTCAGAAACTAAAGTTGAAAACGTCTTCCACACCCTCAGATTCAGGCTATTCTGGTGGCCGGGCTTTCCCTCAGCTGTGAGCTGCCGCGGCTCACGAGAACGATAATGGCCAAGCCCGTTTCTCACCCAGGGCCGTGGACAGGAGGCCGAGTGCTCCCGGGAACTTTCCCGATGGGAAGGGCAACTCCTCCCACAGCAGCAGGACCCGCACGGGAGTGTGGGCGGAGGCACCTGATCTGCGCAGACACCTGCGGACTCAGCTCCCGGAGCTCACTGCTTGGGTGAGTGCAGCAAAGCTTAGGTGTTGTGGTTCAAAGGACCCTTAGTGCAGCCTGCATGGTTTGTGAGCCAAGTTTAGCTCTGTTTTCCTATTTGATCTACTGCTTGATGTCTGGTCGCCGTGTCAGTATTCCAGGGTGTTCTCCCACCTGCATCAGCATGTAGTAGATCCCGGCCATGCCGTGGGCTGCCCCCACGTACTGCTTCCTGTGCCACTGGTACAGCAGGGGGCAGCGCTCAGCCTTCCTCTCCTCCCTCGACAGAGCCTTGCCCGACTCAATAATAGCAGTGACGACCTGCAGACATAAGGACACAGTTTATTATGTCTGAAAAACTTACATGTATCCTGTTTCAGTCTAATACCACTAACAGCATGTCCTTAGATAGCTTCATCTAGAAATCTCCAGGCACTCAGCAGCCAGCACTGTTATCTTTATTTTTGTGAATTAATAGATATAGGCAGAGAGAAATCCGTAGACAATCTCTCAGTAGAAAAAGTGAAACCATGAAACCAAAACTTTTTTGCATAAAAAGTTTACTAGAGTCTGGAAAAACTTCCTATAAAAATATTCTAGACTACTTAGTTGCTTTGTAGCTACAATGTTTCCCCCAAAAGACTGGTGATCTCCCCTAAAATGCTGCAGGAACCGGCTGTGTGTGGGAAAGGCTGCAGGAACCGGCTGTGTGTGGGAAAGGCTGCAGAACTGGCTGTGTGTGGGAAAGGCTGCAGGAACCGGCTGTGTGTGGGAAAGGCTGCAGGAACCGGCTGTGTGTGGGAAAGGCTGCAGGAACCGGCTGTGTGTGGGAAAGGCTGCAGGAACCGGCTGTGTGTGGGAAAGGCTGCAGGAACCGGCTGTGTGTGGGAAAGGCTGCAGGAACCGGCTGTGTGTGGGAAAGGCTGCAGGAACCGGCTGTGTGTGGGAAAGGCTGCAGGAACCGGCTGTGTGTGGGAAAGGCTGCAGGAACCGGCTGTGTGTGGGAAAGGCTGCAGGAACTGGCTGTGTGTGGGAAAGGCTGCAGAACTGGCTCTGTGGGAAAGCCTAGTGACATGAGGTCCGCTGTGGCATGCAGAGCTTTAGTTAGCTCAAAAGAAGACTCGCGTAGCTGTAATGAGGCTGCAGCACAGATCCTGACTGGCTCCTAATATCCTGACTCCCTTCATACTTTTGGTAACTGTGCTACAAGTTTTAGCTGGGCCTCCTGGCCTCTTAGCCCCAGAGAGCTTGACACTGCCACCTGGCTCAGTTCTGCATGTGGGATGTGAGCAGAAATGAGAAGAGCAGCTTCATGTTCTTGGCCTTACAAGGAAGCTGCTCGTCCTCCACTTACTCACTTGCCCCTGGGCACAGGTGCTCACCTAGCTTTGGCCATGCAAACAAGGGCACGGCCCTAGGACGTGGGAGGACAAGATAGAAGGGTCCCCAGACAGCTTCCCAGGACTGCCCACCAGTTCAGACATCTCGTGAAAGAGAGACATGCTATCTCTCTGAAGCTGGGGTTGTTTGATTCTAGTAAAAACAGCTGATTGGATACAGGCCTAAGAGGAGTACAGATTAAAAACAAAAACCTTCCTAGAAGACGCAGGAAGGAGCAACCCGTTAGTTTTATGAGATGCTTTTAGAAGTCACTGTTCTTAGGGGCAGAGTGCAGACGGGTGAGAGGATGCCCGGGTTGTGGGGACCCTACCTCTCTAACGGCCGACTCACACAGGGTGCCTGGCCCGATCTCCGTGTTCAGGTAGAGGAGGGCATACAGATACCCGGCCCGGCCATAGAGCAGCTCGTCCGGAAGGTCCGAATCTTGGCAGACAATGGATCTCTGGAGCTGCAAAAGTCTACCCAACAAGAAAGGGTCTCTGTTCCCCGAGAAGGTCTAGGATACCTTCCCAAAACTGTAGATAACCCCGTTCCTTTAGGAATTGCCTGTTATTTATTTTCAATTTAAATGGTTTAAAAATATATCAAAAAACAGAAAAGAAAACCTTGTCCATTTCACTCATTTCTCTCTCAGATATCACAATGAGTAACAAAGCATCGTTATGGTCAAAATGTCCACCGTGCATCTACCCTAGCCATGTAAGAGAAGACACTCAATTGTGAAATCCAGAGTTAGAAGAAAGTGACTTCAACTCTAAACGAAAACGGTAGTAAAATGTAGCCAGCGCTTGGGAATTAGCCCGAGTTGCCTGTCATTCAACAAACAGGAACAGACCAGCATGAGCTGGAGACCACAGCCGCGGCCGTGAGCGCCGACTTCTGCTTCTCCAGAGAAGAACAGAAGCCAACAGCTGCACACACAGCGGGCTCTCTAACTGTCCCATCGCAACTGCACCTGAGAACAACGATCACAGTAAGTCTGAGGCATAGAAGCTACTTTCCATGCACTGAAGGCAACCAAAAATTACCTCAGAAAAATGATCAAAGCAACACAAAGAAACATGCGTGTGCCCCGCCCCCCTCTCCTCCTCCCCGAGTTAAGGCCAGCAGAGCTGGGTAGAAAGTGAGGCCATGATCCCACACTCTGCTCAGAATTCACACACAAACTTCACTTCTCGGAGAGATCTGTAGCAGCAGATGAATTAAAAAATGTCTTCGTTTTTCATTATGTTTTGACAGCAGGACCTTGCCCTGAGAGTCTGGAGAAGAGACTTCAATGTTAAGCGCTCACTTCGCGATGCACTCCTGGGACTCGCCATCACTTCTGAGTTTGTGGTACACCACCGCGCCCACGGCCAGCGGCCCAGCGTCTCCGCAGAGGAAAGTGACCCTGCGGCCATTCAGATTCCGAAGGGTCCTCTTGACGTAATCCAGGGACCGCAGCAGGTGCGTCTGGTCACACGTCACCCGGTACAACTGCAGGTACAGCAGGGCTATGCCTGGGAAAGTCCCCAAGAAGAGCATCAGTCCCGTTCCCTTTTGCCTTTTGGACATGATTTTACATTTACGTGAAAACCTACAGAAAACCTGTATTTCTGAAGGGCAACAGGAAAGACTTGAAAAAAAAAACTCAGGGTAGAAAAAAGGTAGCACAAACACTGACCCTGGGGCAAGTGTGCTCTGATCACACAGTTTTGTAGACACCGTATGTGAGGGCAAATAATGTCATAGACATGCGGCAGACGACGTATCAGGTTCCAACTGCCAGGCAGAATTTTTTAGAAATAAAATTCCAAAGCATCTCCTCTAGGAAGACAGTTCAAAACTTCATCTAAAGGGTAGAGAACTTTACCATTTTACAAGAGAAAGGAGTTTTAAACCCAAGTCTTACATATCACAATCTAAGAATAGGACACACTAGGCAGGCAGCCCCTTCTCACCTGTCCAGCCCGTATACGCAGAGCAGTCATGTGGGTCCGCGGTCCTCAGCCCTTCTTCCATCTGCTGCAGCAGATCTTTGATTTTGGTCTGGACCCGCCTTGCGAATGTGTGAATGATCTGAGAACCCAAAGACATCAATATAAATGGCACAAGAACAGGACAACGCTGTAATAACTACTCTAACAGGCTAAGTCGTAAGAATGTTAACAGGCAGAAATTACATTGCCTGGCCCATTTTAATGCTTCATTGGTTGGAGAGTGTACCTTGGTTTTTTTAAGGTAAGTTTTTAAATCCAATAATGCCCTACACAGACTACAAGTCTTAAGTAGGATTACACAAAATAAGTTGCAGAACCAAAGGAACAAAACCATTGAAAAGTGGTGGATTTGATTACACAAATATTTTAACTTCTATAAGTGAAAGAAAATAAGATGGTTTAAAAGTTAATGACAAAAACTTGCAGACACAGACAACACTATGGTGGTTATCAGAGGGGAAAGGGGGATGGTGAGGTAGAAGAGGGTAAAGGGGTGATAAATGGTGATGGAAGGAGACTTCACTTTGGTGAACACACAGCACAATGTATGATGTATTATGGAAGTATACACATGAAACCTATATAATTTTATTAACTAATGTTGCGCCAATAAATTTAAGTCAGAAAGTTAATGACAAGGGAGAAATACTTATAAGTGACAGGCATATGCAAAAATGGTCAATCACTTTAGCAATCAATGCAGTGCAAATAAGTACAAATATTATGGTGTGCCTATCCTATATAATAAAAGGCTAATATGCAAATCAACCAAACGGCGGAATGACCGGTCGCTATGATGCCCACTGACCACCAGGGGGCAGACACTCATTGCAGGAGCTGCCCTCTGGTGGTCAGAGCACTCCCACATGGGAAGCACTGCTCAGTCAGAAGCTGGGCTCACGGCTGGCGAGGGCTCCCAGACTGGGAGAGGGTGCAGGCCAGGCTGAGGGATCCCCCAACAGTGCACGAATTTCATGCACCAGGCCTCTAGTCAGATGATAATAAAATATTTTAAAAGTATTACGTACCAACACTGTTAACAGTGAAGGAAGGAGGTATTCTCACCCACTGCCCGCACTCTTCCTCAAGGGAAACTTAGCACCGTTCTTACACATGCAGTTGTTCAGATGTTTCTGTCTTTGACGATTTTTAAAAGATTTAGTTGCTATGCCAACTGCAGAGGTGCATTACAATCCCTGATGGCAGACGTGTCTATCGTCTATTTCTTCCTTTAATTCTGCACTTTTTATTTTTTTTGCTTTCGTGTATTTTGTAGTCTGTTATTAGGTACAGACAAATGTACAATTGTGTCTTCCTCACAAACTGACTTGCTATCATAATGAAATGTCCTTCTGTGGACCCAGAGAGAAAAGACGCTTATGCAATTGAAAAGGAAAAGGAATTCATGGCCCCATGTAAATAAGAAGTCCAAGGAAGAAAAAGAAAAACAGAAAGTGATTTTATGTTCCTGCACATTGGGTGCTTTCAGGGCAAATTTTACTGAAATTTGTGGGTGTGGAGTCAAAGCAAACCCTAGGAATTAAGTGACCAGAGTGTAAGGTGTGAGAACTCCATAGGTTTACTTAACCCTGGAGGCACCTGTTAGTTTACACCTTAAACGGGTGCAAGGCCCTGGAACCGAATACCAGTGGATTTCTTTTTCACAGAAAGGCCCATGTGCCTTCTAACACTGAGAGTAAGACGCGGGGACACCTTCCCCGAGGGGAGCGGCACTGGCCTCTCTCCCCTGCACAGAAAGACCTGCCTTAACTCAGGACATTTCCTAACAGGGAAACAAGCTCCCGTGGGGAGGTGTCCTGGTGAGGGCTCCGCACATCTTCCTGGGAGACACCATTCCACCCATAACGTCCTTGTTCTCATGAAATTCCAGGTCTCTCAAGCCAAATGCATACTTTTGATATTATCGATCTTCATTACAGTCTTGACATAATATTTTAACGATAAAAATGTAATGATCAGCCAACCATAAAGTATCTGTGTGGAAGATAGTGGAACTTAATCCATCTTCATTTTATCTTGTGACTTTTCCCCCTTTTAACATCACAACCCCCCCCCCCCCCCATGTCCAAGAACACAATTCCCACGCCCCTCTCCTTCCGCGAGCCCGGTCCCCACCCTGACATCGGCGCCATCTCTAACCGCACAGAGAGAACACAAGCCGCAGGAGTTATTTGTGCTGTGACAGGAGTCCGTCTGCACATGCAGGAGTGAGCAAAGGTAGGTTACAGCTGTCCACATAGAAGAATATGTAATGCAATGATAACAATACAAGAAAAAACATTGCTTTGTGAACTCACAGCTGTCAACCCGCTGTTGCCCGCCCCTGTGGTTGGGGTGAAAATCACATTCACTGCATACAAAGGGTAAAAAGGGGGAAAAAGCATTTTCACAGTCAGCGTGCATTGCATGCTGCCCGGCTTTTCCTGCTCCTACGGGCTCTCCGGGCGGGGCTCGCTCCCGCACCGGCACCGGCACCGGCACCGCGCAGGCAGCAGCCTCCTCACTGAGGGCGGCGGAGGGGCAGCTGGTGCTCGGCGTGAACCATGGGTTGTGTAATGCTCGCCAGCCGTCAACATAAGCCTTTTATTATAAAAAACGTGACTCCTAAGTGACAAACAGGACGAGAAAATGGAAGACGCCGTAGCCGCGGGAACACCGGGGGCCGGTTCGCAGCGCGTGCGTCTGGCTCGCGCAGAGGCGGAGTGAAGGGCGTCGCCCGCCATCAAACCTGCGCCTCCACCATCCGGGGCGCCCGAGCAGACCCCCCATCAGGGCAGCTCCAGGGCCGAGGGCACGCGGCGCCAGGGGAAAGAGGCCCCAAACCAGCAGTGTCCGCACCCCCGGGGCTGCGCCGCCAGGAAGAGCCCAGCGGGGCAGGGGCGAGGGGCGAGCAGACACCGATACGCGCTCCCCACGCCCGGCGAGGGCGAGACGCAGGCCGGCGCAGCGAGCGGCGCGCGGGTGGGCGTGGCCGATGACGCCAGCGCGCAGATGGGCGGGGCCGTGACGCCAGCGCGCAGGTGGGCGGGGCGGGTGGACGCTACCACCGCGCGGGCTCCCCCCCACCCGGCGCGGCCCAAGGCCGGGCCGTCGCCGGCCGCCACTCACCTTCCCGTCGTCGTGAAAGGGGAGGCCGAGCTCGTCGGGGGCGGGCGCGGGGCAAGCCCCGTCCGTGTCCTCGGCCGCGGCGGAGGCAGCGGCGTCCGCGGAGGCGGCGGCCTCGTAGTCCGGGAAGCGGTTGGGGAACGCGCGCTCCTCCATCTCCGCCTCGGCGCCCAGGTGCAACCTGAGCCTCTTGGACATGGTCTCGCCCATCGCCGCGCGCCGGGCCCAGCGCCGGGGCCGCGCGGGACGGTGCGCGCGCGGGGACAAACCTCCGGCGCGGCGTTCGCCCGGGGGCCGCTCGGGGACCCCGCGGGGCCGGGCTTCCTCTAGGAGGGCGGCGGGCCGCGGGGGCGGGCGCGGCCGGGGAGCGCGCGGGAGCCTGTGCGCGGGGCCGCGGGCCGGCACATCTGGCCGCCGCTGGCGCGCCCCACGTGGTGCCCGCCCGGCCGGACGCTGCCCGGGCCGCGGGGAGCGCTGGGCGGCTCCGAGCCCGGTCACGGCCGCCCGCCCCGTCCCTTCGCCGCCCGCCCGGCCCGCGCCTGGTAGGGCCGGAGCCCCGGCTGGAAGTGCCTCCCGCGGCCGAGCCCGCCCCACGATCCCCGGGAGGACCGGGCGGCCGCGAGGGGCGGTTCCCGCAGGGAGCCCGGGAGCGGACTCTCCGTCATCCAAGGCGCCCGCGGCCCCCGGGCGCGCCGTCCTCCCCCTGCATCTCCTCCCGCCGGCCCCGGGCTGGGAGCAGCTCCTGGTTCCGATCCGGGAGACAACCGCCTCGGGAAGATGGCAGAACCGCCAGCACCGCACGGACGGAGTCTGGGGGGGCGGGGGGGCGCGCGGCCCTCCCGTTCCTCGGCCGGGAGGGGTGGCGGGGGAGGAGCCACCGGCCTTTTTTTTTTTTTTTTTTAAATTTATTTTCAGTCCCTTTGTTTTGAATGAACGAATGTCTTTGTTACCAAGACACAGTGTGAAGGCACATTTGATCCAAACACTGAACGGGCGCCAAGGGTCCCCCGACGTTCACGGAGGACGGGCAGGAAGGAGCCTTTGCCTCCCTGGACAGGGCTCACTGCACCGGCTGTCGCTTCTCTCTGCTCGTGGCTCTTTAATTATTTGGAGCCAAATCGATGCAATGATTTCTCCTCCTCCAGGGAAATATTTTACTTTTTCCTCCCCCTTTAAACTGATTGAGTGCCAGTTGGTACCAGGCGATGACAAAGCACAGGGAAAGGAAGTTCCTGCGCTCGGACCCGGTGTCAGTGGTGAGGGCGAAGGGCCAC